ATTTGTTTATGCCGCATGCAACAAACTTTACTGATTCTCTGATGGGATCATCGATTTGCCTACTCAATTTTTTTTGATTGACGATCTATATTTTTTTTTGAAACTAGCAATGACATACACAAACCGATAAGTATATGAGAAAACGGACTTTCTTTATAGCATTGTGGGACATCTTCTAATGGCAAAATGCCAAAAGATCCACGTGGTTAATGAGGACTAACAATATGAGTGTGGTCCACCATGAGTTTCTCGTGACCACGAAAACCTTTCTTTAATTTTTCGGTGAGGAGATGGGTCAGAGATCATCATTTTTATGCATAAATGGATCGATAATGGTTATTGTTGTTACGAACAAATGGGTGAAGAAACAAATGGGTGAAGAAACAGAGGATAGCAGCAGGGGAAGAAGGGGAGGGGGCAGATGGTCTCTGCATGCCATGACTGCTCTTGTTACTGGTGGCACCAAAGGAATTGGGTCTCTCTCTCTTCTTCCTGTGGGTGTTGAGGCATGATTTCTCTGGTTACAGTCTTTGTATGTGAATTCAAATTGTAGTCACTTCTCATTTGTCTGCTCTCACAGATTCTCATGTTTCAGTTTGGTTCTTAAATAATATTATTTCACATCATTTTGTGCCTTTTGTTGCTACAATTCGAGCTTAATGCTCCTGACGCATTTGCTGAATATCACAATTGTTACCATCTTCAACTTCTAAATTTTTCTCTTTGATAATGGGCTCAAATGACGTCAAGTAATACTGGGTGTTATAGTAGGATGCTGCTTATGGTGTGGTAGTACTCTTTTATACTAGAGCTGGTTAATGTGCTTTCATTTCCTTTTTTATTTGATTGTCATCATTAAATTTCATATTTTTTTGATTGAGAACATGAATCGAGGGAAGTGTACCAGTTATTTGGTTGAGTCAGAATACTATCCATCCACTAGTCAGTGTAGCAACTCTTCTTTTGCACTGACTCTATTTTCCCTCTCATTTGCTGCTGGGAATGTGTCAAAATATGGTGTTAGTTATGATGGTCTTTGTTTGTAGCCTTATAGGCATCTTGCTCTTATACCAATAAAGAATTTTAGAACGAGAAAGGAAGTTTTGAAAAATGTAATTATGCTCCACATTTACAAAGTATGGTGGTTCTTTCATTGTATATATAATAGTGATACACTAGTATAAGGGACACCTTCCTATCTTGTTACTGTTAGAACCCTCTTAGATATAGAAACAAGAATCCCAAAGGTTGGATCCCACCAAGATTATGTACTTATCAGTTAGAAATCTTAGATACGAAAACAAGAATCCCAAAGGTTGGATCCCACCAAGATTGTATACTTATCATTTAGAAACAAAATATGAGAGAGCACGAGCCATAATACGAAAAATAAAGCATGAAATACACACGCCGCAAGAACACAAAGATTTACGTGTTACGAAAAATGAAAGTTACATCATAGATTTTGGGACATAGTGTTACCTCTCTAACCTTCGACCAAACCCAATTGAATGAAAGTTACATCATAGATTTTGGGACATAGTGTTACCTCTCTAACCCTCGGCAAAACCCAATCGAATAAAAGTTACATCATAGATTTTGGGACATAGTATTACCTCTCTAACCCTCAATAAAACCTAATCGAGTAAACCTTTTTAGACCCACTCTAGACCCGCCGATCTCTCATTTCTATTCCACAGCTAAACCGTTGTCCAGGAAGAGACCCTTGAGAGCAACCTAGACTTTCTCTCACTAAAAGGGAAAACCACTCGTGTCCAGGAAGAGACCCTTGAGAGCAACTGAGACTTTTTTCACTAAAAGATGAAACCACCCAAATCTTCTTGGAAACTGCTTGTCTACAAGAAACCAGCCTCTTAATCTACAAGAGACACATCGTGGTGTTTCTCTCCATTGCAAGTTTTGTTCTCCGTAAGGGGAGGCCTTGCCTCTCAATCACAGGAGGCCCTTGCCTCTCTCTCTTTAGAAGAAGCCGCATTTCCCATATGGTGACCCAAATAGGACATACACATTCTTTCTTCTTTCATCCCATATATATATAGTTAAGAGTCCACACTAAATAGAAAATAAGTCTTGCATCTATCTCAACAACCAAGAGATATATCCTGGAGTCCTAATCTTTTTGGATGTCAAGTGAAAGATTGCTTGAGAAAGCTTACTTCACTCGACTTGAATTTTGTTTTAAGCTTCAACTGTTAGAGAAGATTGGGAGTTATCTTAAGAAATTCAGGGCTAACAAATTGAACATGGATCAACAATATTGGCTTCAAGGAAATACTTGGCTTTGCTTTTTCATGAAATTATTTATCTCTAACTTCCTTTCAGTATATACAAATCTGTATTTATACAATAATTATCATTTTCTTGTTCTTAATTTAATAGAAAGGTTGGAATTTATCATATTGATAAATCTGATATTGATGCGAGATTAAAGTGTTGTTGACCCATGGTTAACTGTAATTTGCCTCCTTCAAACTTTTTGCAGACATGCTATCATAGAGGAATTGGCCGGACTTGGAGCATCGGTATATACTTGTGCTCGCAATGAAGATGATCTTAACAAATGCTTGAATCAGTGGAAGGGTATGGGGTTGGATGTTCATGGTTCAGTTTGTGATTTATCATCACGCTCTGATCGGCACAAATTGATTGAAGCAGTGTCTTCACATTTTAAAGGAAAACTCAACATCCTCGTAAGTTCCATATATTTTCTCCTTATGACACACATTTTATAACTGAGTTTGACATTGCTTCTTCTGCTGTTCTGTGCGACTTTTTCACTTCAGTAATTTTTAATAGTTCTGAAATTGGACATGCATTGTATAGGCATTTTATTTATTTATATCATATAAATGTTCCATCTTTGTTATTTCCCATTCCAAATCTGATATGTTCTTTCTGTTAAAGTTGGATGAATATATGGATTAATAAGTTGTCAAAATTCATGTATCAACATGCATAAGACGATTAGTATTCACTTTGGAACCTTGACTCCATGATTAAGTTGCGATAAAGAGTAGGTGTTTGCTAAATTGTGATTTCTTGAACTACAATTAATATCCACCATCATGTCCATATGGTTTAGGTTATTATTGTGCTTTTCTTTGATCAGTGGGTTTAATGTTGTGTTTATATATTCATGGCATTCAGGGCCAAAATTATTTTAAATTTTTTTTTCCATCTACTCTCTAGCCCTATTTTATTGATATCTTGTTTCTCCCTATGATTTCCTTCACATGAAAAATCAGAGCAACCGAATTTTATGTACTCCAAAATCCAAATGCTGACCTCTGTCTAATTCACACCATCTTAACTACTTCAACCTTCTCTCTCAAATTTCTCTGTGGAAATTTCTTTGAATAACAGCAGAGCAACTCACTGCTTATCAATCTATTCTATTGTTTTATGTTTGAAATATCATGATGAGTTCATTTCTCTTTTCCTTCTTTCTGTTTGAGACGCTCTTTTCATTCCTGCGCTTCCCTTTTTCTTTGTAATTAATATCAGGTTCTTCGATTTTGTTTTCTTTTTAATTGGCAAGTAGATTCCATATTTTTAGCATCAAATTCAGCTTAGTAATTGAGCTTTTGGTGGCTAATCCCTGATCAATAATCAAAGGAAAATTAGTTTTGGTGGCTTAAATTTATGTTGTTGACTTACTATTGAAAAGAGTTGGTGAATCATTCGGGTTTCCGGGCTTTAGGTGAATAATGTTGGCACAGGCTTCGGAAAACCTACAGTGGAGTATACGGCTGAAGACTTCTCCTTACTGATGACGACCAATTTCGAATCTGCTTACCATATGTGCCAACTCTCACATTCTCTTCTGAAAGCATCAGGAGCAGGAAGCATTGTATTCAACTCCTCTATTTCTGGGGGGCTTGCTACATATTTTAGCTTATATGGTGCTACTAAAGGTAATTTTAAAGGGAATGTGCACCATAGTTTTAAGTATGGTATATGGTAGTCCCTGCCCACATCCACTCTGATCCCCTCGATGGATGATTGGTGATTAACTGGGTTGGGGCCTATAGGAGCATGAACTTTTTCGTAACTAGTCTCCCACCATTTGTCAGTACTCGAGTGGGAATGTCATGGATTAGCTTGGACTACCATATAAGAAGTCCATTGGATAAGCTTTACCTTTAACTTAGATTTTTGACACTTCATCTTCCATAGTGCATACTAAAATTTGAGTTTACAAAATCTTAATTTACCACCTATTTTTTCTGTTTGGAATTTCTTTTTTACAGCTGCAGTGAACCAAATCACAAAAAATCTGGCTTGTGAGTGGGCGAATGACAAAATTCGGACCAACACTGTGGCACCTTGGTTTATAAAGACACCGCTTGTGAAAGATGTGAGAGCCCTTTCAACATTTTGTGGTTGTTAATAGTAATAGCACTAGTAGTAGTCATGGCAACAGAAACTATTCATGGTTCTTTTATCTTTTATTTACTAGTATTCATGGCCACTGAAACTAATCTTGGTTCTGTTAATTTCTTTCTTTCGCAGTATTTAGGAGATAAAGAGTGGTTTGCAGGGATAATTGCCCGAACCCCTATGCATCGCGTAGGGGAGCCAGAGGAAGTTGCTTCTTTGGTTGCATTCCTTTGCATGCCAGCTGCGTCGTATATCACGGGTCAAGTAATCTGTGTTGATGGTGGATTGACTGTCTATGGCTGGTATCCATGACAAGGAAAATTTGATCCAGATCACATCTCTCTCTCTCTAAATAATGCAGCTATGTTTAGGGCCCTGTGTTAAAAAATAATGTGTTGATGTAATAATTGGATTGATAGCTTGTTGGGGGCACAGTAGCTTCTGTAAGAGTTTTGCGTTAATCTAGGAATAGCAGGGAATCTTTTGATCATTTTGCATTGCACAAACTTTAATTCATTATCCGATCATGCATTTGTGTGGATTTGGGTTTGTGAATTAAGAGTAGGGTTTGTCATGGCAAAGTATACCATAATCCTAGGGACTATGGAAAAACTGTAGTCCAATGGACAATTATGGTGGTCCCAATAAAAAAACTTTCTAAAGTGCCATTCTGTATGGGCTTGAAATCTTGTCGATTATTTTGTTTCATAAAACCTAGGCCTGGAGAAACCTCATCCAAAACAGTGTTTGCAAAATTGAACTGGAACGGCTAACTGGATATGGGCTTGGAAGCGGTTTAACCCGCATAACCGGTAAACCTGCCAATTCAACCGATCTAACCCGGCAAGTCCCGGACTGTCAAAAAAGTGTTGAAATTCTTTTAAAAAAAATCTACTAAAATATGAAAAACATATAAAGAATGATTGAAACAAAACCCATTCAAATGACATTGAAAATTAATGAAAAAAATGGATTTTAACCCATTTTATATTTTTCAAGGGTTATTTTTAAAAGTTTCTAAAAAAGATGGGAAAATATAAAAGTGAGTATTAATGATCAAAACAATTTTTAATCTTTATCTGTAACAATCCTAAAATTTCAAAAAAAAAATAAAAATAAAGAGAAAATATACTTTTAAATAGGTGATGGTTCGGATGAGCATGATGGTCCTTAGAGACCATCACTATTTTCAAAAGTTTTTACCTGGTTTAAGCTTTTGCTTGCTGCTTTGCCACGTCCTTTAGTGGGCGTGGTTTTCATATGTTAAAAACGGACTTTTAATGCGACACCTCAGGTATGAGGTGGAGTCTAATAAAATAATATAATAATATGTTATAAGAATTTAAATAGGAGAGGTGAAGACTTTCACCTTAAAAAATTTTGAGGTCTCTCTCTGGTCGAAATACAGTGAACTCCTCTCTCGAGCCGAATTTTTATCGGAAGCTCCTTCTCAAATATTTGTATGTAAGTGACATCATCTTTCTGAAAAATAATCTGTTTTTAATAAATAGTGATATTTCCGTCCAGGATCTTTATTTTATAAGTTTTGTATGTAAGTGACCTCATTGTCTCGAAAAATAATCCATTTTTTTTAAAAATAAAATGAAATAATTATTTCTGCTTATTATCATGAATTTTAGGCGCGATAAATTTTATGCGCACGCGACCTCATTATCTTGAAAAATAATCTTTTTAATAAAAATTGTGATATTTTATCTATGTTAGAAATTTTAAATGCTGTAAATTCTTAAAAAAACAAATTTATTTATTTTCCTTGTCTATTGTTAGAAAATTTTAGATACTATCAAATTATTAGAAATAAATGTGATATTTCTGCTTTTAGTAAAATTGTGATATTTCTTTCTACTGTTTTTTAATATTTAGACATTGTAAAATTCATGTGCAAATGACTGCTTTATTATTTAAAAATTGACATTTTTGCAATTGATTATAGCATTGTTGTGAAATGTTTATTTGTGAATTGATATCCCATAAATTGTGATAATTCCGTATTCTTGAATATCTATAAGAGTTTTTCTATACATATTAAATTGGCAATTATGCTAGAATGTCTTTACGAACTGGTACCTTTCTAAATTTGAGCCCAAAATATTTGATTGGTTGTTTTTTTAAAATGTTATTAAAAGTGACTGTTATTAATGGTTTCAGTGAAATTCATATTAATGATTTTAGTGATATATTGAGTACATGATATTGCTGCTTTCGAATGTTTAAAGAGATTTAGAAATACTTTAAGTATACAAGTGGACTCATCCGGTTCGCCGGTGAGGTATAAGTGGACCTATCTGGGACGCCGGTAGGGATTGAGTGGACTCATACGGTACGCCGGTGAGGTATAAGTGGACCTGCAGGGATTAAGTGGACCTATCTGGGACGCCGATAGGGATTAAGTGGACCCATCAGGACGCTGATGGGGTATATAAGTGACCTACTTGGGATGCCAGTAGGGTATTTTGTAAAATCCTTTGAATTATGCACTGCCGTTAAAGTGTTATATGCATTTCAATCATTTGGATTGTATTTAATTGTGCATTTCTGAAAGTGAAATTGTTATCTATAAATGCTAGTGCTTGCATTGTTTTATTATTATTATTATTATTGACCTCCATTTTGAAAGTTTGTTTATATCTTTCATCGATGATTATTTTTAGGATTATGATGATCACTTACTGAGTAGCCAAACTCTTCAAAATATGGTAAACCTTTTTCAGGATAACTGCGGATTCATTTTGAGTACTAGTCAAGATCATCTTTGGAAGATATTGTTGTTGTGCTAGCTTTCTTTTGTTACTTTGTAAGACCTCTCCACTGTAAATTTGTTCTATCAAGAGATGTATATATGTTTTGGACTGTCACATCTCAAGAATATCTGTATTGTAATTTCTTGGGGTGTGACATTATCATAATGTAAAAAATATTTAAAAATGCATTACAAATCAAAATCTTTATTTTTGAGAATTTATATATATTTTTTTAAATTTTTTTTTAAAAAATACTGGTGGATCACCCTAACCGCTCAAAACTGAAACTGGCCATTGATCGGTTCCGATCTAACCGGGTGGTTAGTGATTCGATCGGGCTATTTTGCGAACAATGATCCAAAAAGAATGTGTCTGGACACCACAATGGACTTTATGTATTGGGACTTGGAATTACTTACCTTTTATGACAAACTTTCAACCTTTTTAAAAGCACTAATTTGGAGTTGATATTGGAACTTGGAAGGAGCAAAAGACAAACTATCATTTTTAAAAGGAGAAACCTTATAGATTTGATGAAGTAAGACGAGCTTTAATTTTTGCAAGGAGAGCAAGGAGAAAATGGAATACCTTATGAGAAAAACACATGAGGAAAGAGCCTAGAAGTTGAATGTGTGAGAAATATCTTGTGAAATGAAAAGGTGCACCTATACCACACTCTTCAACCGTTGAGAAGGATAGACACAAGAACTTGAATGAGAGAGAAAGGAGAGCCCAACACCATTCAAACGAATTACAACCTTGTTGTATTCATTTACACAATAAAATGGATATATACATGTTGCAATTGAGTCAAAAGATCGTATTACTCCTTAAGGGTAGAATATAATGAAGAAATAACACAAACAATTGAGCCCAAGGCTTTAGAAATCACTGATCGAGATTGAAAATTGTCCAACACAAACAAGTTCACCCAGAATTATGTTGAGAACCGGCTGTCTCACCTCTAGAATCGGCGATTCCACTGTAGTTGATAGCTGACTCGCAATAACACAATTACAGTTCCCGGTTCAGCCAACCTTTTTTTTTTTGTTAACTTTTTTCATTTGAAAATTTTCTTGTTGTTTATCAGACTTTTATATCTTTTTAAAACTTTTTTGACCTTTTTCAAAGTACCACCATTTTTAAAGTACTTCTTTTTTGAAAATTTTAAAATTTAAAAATATGGTGTGGAAGACCCACCCACCCATCCATCCTAAAGTTTTCAAACTCTAAAGTAAACAAACATGGACGATTGCAAGATTCAAGTAAAATGTTGAAAATGATTTGAATTCATTAAAGCTTAAATAGAGTTTCTTTAAGTTTAAAAACTTAAATGCATCATGCTATTCTTTTTTAGAAAATTGTTTATGCGGGCTGAATTGTATTCCTACAATATCCGGTCTATAGGTATAAAGCATCCATCTTTAAGATAGATGCAAATAGGTGGTCCATCTAAAACCAACTGTAACTAACGGTCCAAATGTTTTCTTAATATAATTATTATTTCTAGTTTTCAATTATTTATTTATTTATTTTCACATTCATGATCTTCCTGTTAAAGATTATATATTCTCTAAAAATTAGGATCAAATTATATTTTAAAAATATTTATTGCCAAGCCCGCATTTCTACAAGATGCGGGCTGGCTGCATAGAAACCATGTCTTTCTGTTTTATGTTTACATATTATTTATTTTATTTTCAAATATTTTTTGTTTTATGCTTAAGCTTGTCCTATTAACCTTGGTACCGGTGTTCAAAAAATCGACTTGACCAAAGTACAAGGACTTTGGCTGAGGCGAGTTATTCGGCTGAGTCCTAATAACTTGGCCAGGCCCATGTCATGTTAAAAAAAGAGAAAATAACAAAAGAAAACGGGATATGTAATAAGGAAAAGTTTATATAGAGCCGAGGCTTAGACAATCAAATTTGAGCCTATATCAAATTTTTTACTAAAAAGGGTTGTTTTGATGCTCAAATATCTTCAAATTGATCATCTCGATATCAAAATGCATGGACATGAGAAAAAATAGATTTCAAGTTTTGGAAATAGTTTATCTTGTAACGCATTTTTGGACCGTCAAATTTTCAAGATTTTTATATACTATTTTGAAGGTTAAAGCTTTATAAATAAATATAAAAATATATTTTAAGACTATTACAAATATTTTCAGTATTGAAATCACATTTCACGACACTATTTGAAGGTAGGCTCTAATTTGATTGTTTAGAGCTCAGGGTCTATAAAAAACGCACCCAATATAATAAGATACTTATTCCTTTCACAAATGCTTAAGTAGCGTGTTGTTTAAACAAGGCTTATTTTTTATTTTTTTAAAAAGGGCCAAAAAAAAGATTACTTCATCATATATGATTACAAAAGAGAATGTGTATACCATATAAAAAATCGGATCATGGTACTCCGCCTTCTCCACAGGCCGAGGCCAAGTTTAAAAACTGTCGTTCGCACCATCCCTCTCTTTCTATCTCTAAAACTATTCTCTCTCTAAAACACTGAGGGGCCTTCAATTAGACCACAATTTAATCGATTTAGGCTGAATGGCGTGGTTAAACCTAATCTGAGCTGATCTCTGCAATTCGTCGTTCCCAGAGTTGTGCTTTATGGGGTTGAATCGATGAGCACGCTTTTGCAAGTGCAAGAGTACGATTGCTTAATAGAATTTGGGCGATCATGGTTTCAAAGTAATGAGTTGATACCCATATTCTAGATTAATGAGGTTATTACCTCTTCTTCACATGTAAAAAAGTTTTATTGTTTCTTTGTTTGAGGTGGGTCTTCGGTCTTCAAATATTATTTTTTTAATTTTAAAAATTTCTGATAAACAGTTGTTTAACTTTCTTTAAGAGGTGGTGGGTCTTATACCAGCATATTTTTTATTTTAAATTTTTTTGATAACTAGTTGTTTTATACTTTTCCACCCGTTTCTCTCTCTCTTTCTTTTATTATTATTATTATTATTATTATTATTTAATTTTGACATTCCATACTTGGTGGGCATAATCACCCTATAGTTTTTTTCTTGAATTACCTTTTTCTTTTTAAAAAAAATTAAATCTCTACGTCTCTCTCCTGATTGTCAAAAGAGGTTTATGGAAAAAGACTTTGATGCATTCCTAAATCTAGAAAAAAGATTCATTCATCTGGTTGGTAGTGACAATAGTAACCAATCATGCCTTGACACACTATGAAAAGGGAGGGAGAGAGAGGCTATCTTCAGGCTGCAATAATAAGTCATCCTATTTGATCGATTCTCTAACCTGATTGCGGATTTGCCAATTCGATCCAGATGATCCGAGTCAATGATCCGTTTTTTAAAATAATGACAGATCACAAGCACCCCCACAACTAAGACGAAGAATATGTTCGGAGATAATGTAAACGGACTCTCTAATGGAACCGTCGCAGTATATTATAGAGTCCTTTGTATCATATTATGGAGTGGCAGATCATCTTATGGCAAAATGTCAAGAGACCCACATTAAGCAGAGGACCAAAGAAGTGGTCCATGAGGACTCAGAAAATGAGTGTGCTGGAAAATGTCAAGAGACCCACATTAAGCAAAATGTCAAGAGACCCACATTACGCAGAGGACAAAAGTAAGAAAATGAGTGCGGTCCATCATGTGGTTCTTTTGACCACACAAGATTGTGAAAACAAAATAGCCCAAAAGGCTCGTTCTATACAGAAGAAATGGGTGAAGAAAGCGAGGAGAGCAGCAGGGGAAGAAGAGGAGGGGACAGATGGTCTCTGCATGCCATGACTGCTCTTGTTACTGGTGGCACCAAAGGCATTGGGTCTCTCTCTTCTTCCTTTGTGTGTTGAGGCATGCTTGTGCTCTCTCTCTTTTCTTCCCGTAAAATTATGACCACAAAATGATTAGATGGAAAGATGTTTTTATTTTTATTTTTTATTTTTTATTATTTTAACGGTCTAATGGTGAGGATCTTAAATCCTCTCTTAACCCGTCTCAAGTTCGGGTAAAGTAAAAGGGGTGGGTTGTGTTAAGTGAGCAGCAAGCTCCGGTATAGAGGTGGGTTGTTGTAAGGTAAGCGGCGCGTTAAACTTTGCCAAATTGTCTTGTTTCTTGCACCTAGAGGGGTGGAACACGACTAATATAGTTAAATATTGCCCACCGCAAATAATTGGGATAAGGCTTAAACGATGATGAATGAAGATGAACTTTCTTTTTTTCGGCTTTTTAGAGGGGTTTGTAGGGAACTAATCTCGTCTAGCTCAATCTGATTTTATTTCTTAGTATCTCATTTGTTGTGAATTGGAATTGTAGTCACTTACTCATTTGTTTGCTCTCACAGATCCTCATGTTTCAGATTGGTTCTTAACTAATATCGTTTCGCATATTTTGGTGCCATTGTTGCTACAATTCGATCGTTAAGCTCCTGACTCATTTGATGACTATCACAATTGTTACCATCTTCAACTTTTTAATTTTTCTCTTTGATGATGGGTTCAAATGGTAATAGTGTGTGTTATAGTAGGATGCTGCTTATGGCGTCGTAGTATTGTTTTAAACTAGTGCTGGTTAATGTGCTTTCATTTCCTGTTTTATTTGATTGTCATCATTAAATTTCTTATTTTTTTGTTTGAGAACAAGAATCAAGTGAAGTAATAAATGATATTTATTGTTTATTACCCAGTTATTTGGTTGAATCAGAATACTATCCATCCACTAGTCAGTGTAGCAACCCTTCTTTTACACTGACTCTATTTTTCTTCTCATTTACAGTTGGGAATGGTGCTAGTTATGCTAGTCTCTGTTTGTATAGGCTTCTTGGGAGCAACTAGTTGAACTAAAATCTATGTTCAAGAAAAGGCCTATTTTCCTAAATGTAGTTCTTTGCTTGGGGCCCTACCTTAGACAATTTGGGTGGTTGTTTTCTTGGAGTCCTATAGTATTTTGGGGGAGCACATTATTAAGCATGAACCCATTTTTCCAAACTTGGTGTTCTTTTCTTTGAGTGCTATGTGATGTGGGGGGAGTAGTTAATTGAGCTTGAACCCATATTGTCCGGTTGGCTGGTTCTTTTTGGGGAGATTGATTAGAAACTTAGCTGTTTCCTTGCATGGAGTTGAGTGGATTTTTGGGGGGATTCTTTTAAGTGAAAGATTGCTTGAGAAAGCCCACTTCACTTACCTTGAATCTTGTTTTAAGATTCAACTGTTAAGAGAAGGTTGGGAGTTATCTTAAGAAATTCAGGGCTAACTAATTGTACATGTATCGACGATGTAAAGCCTTCAAGGAAATACTTGGGCTTCGCTTCTTCATGAAATCATTTATCTCTAACTTCCTTTCGTGATACACGAATCTGTATCAAAACACTGATTATTATTTTCTTGTTCTTAAATTGAAAGGATGGTTGAAACTTATTATATTGACAAATCTGATATTGATGCAAGATTCAAGTGTTGTTGACCTACGCGTTACTGTAATTTGCCTACTTCAAACTTTTTGCAGACATGCTATCATAGAGGAATTGGCCGGACTTGGAGCATCGGTATATACTTGTGCTCGCAATGAAGATGATCTTAACAAATGCTTGTACCAGTGGAAGGGTATGGGGTTGGATGTTCATGGTTCAGTTTGTGATTTATCATCACGCCCAGATCGGCACAAATTGATCGAAGCAGTGTCTTCACATTTTAAAGGAAAACTCAACATCCTCGTAAGTTTCATACATTTGCTCCCTATGATACACATTTTATAACTGAGTTTGATATTGCTTCTTCTGCTGTTCTATGCGAATTTTTCACTTCAGAAATTTTTAACATTTCTGAAATTGGATAGGAACTGTATGGGCATTTTATTTATTTTTCATGATTGTTTTCATAGTATTGTAAAAGTTCCATCTTTGTTATTTCCCATTCCAAATCTGATATGTTCTTTTATGTTAAAGTTGGATGAATGTATGAATTAATAAGTTATCAAAATGCAAGTATAAAAATGCATAAGACAGTATTCACTTTGGAGCCTGGCTCCATGATTAAGTTGCGATAAAGAGTAGGTGTTCGCTAAATTGTGATTTCTTGAACTACAATTATAGACACAATCATGTTCATATGGTGTACCATATACCATAAGCCGCCGGTCAATGGTATACTTTCCCTTTTATTAACTCTTTTGAGTATCTTTCTGTCAAGACACTAATGATTGAAGGCTTTTCTAATTTCTAGGGTTATCATTGGGCTTTTCTTTGATCAGTGGGCTTAATGTTGTGTTTATATATTCATGGCATTTAGGGCCAAAATTATTTGAAATTCTTTTTTCATCTACTCTCTAGCCTTCTTTTATTGATATCTTGTTTCTCCCTATGATTTCCTTCTCAAGAAAAATCAGAGCAACCCAATTTTATGTACTCCAAAATCCAAATGCTGAACTCTGTCTAATTCACACCATCTTAACTTCTCTCTCAAATCTCTATGTGGAGCAATCATAATAACTCATGCTTTTTGAAAATGACCAAACAACATCAAATTTCTTTGAACAACAGCCGAGCAACACATAGCTTGTCAGTCTATACTATTACTTTATGTTTGAAATATCTTGATGACTTTATTTCTCTTTTCCTTCTTTCTGTTTGAGACTTCTCATTTCTGCATTTCCCATTTTCTTTGTGGTGAATATTAGGCTCTTTGATTTTCGTTTCTTTTCCATTGACAAGTAAATTCCATATTTTTAGGATCAAATTCAGCATGGTAATTGCGCTTTTGGTGCCAATCCTAATCAATAATCAAAGGAAAATTTGTTTTGAAAAATATGCTTGGGATTATTAAGTTTATGTTGTTGACTTACTACTGCAAAGAGTCGGTGAATCTTTGCGTTTTCCGGGCTTTAGGTGAATAATGTTGGCACAGCCATAGGAAAATCTACTGTGGAGTTTACGGCTGAAGACTTCTCCTTTATGATGATGACCAATTTTGAATCTGCTTACCATATGTGCCAACTCTCACATCCTCTTCTGAAAGCATCAGGAGCAGGAAGCATTGTATTCAACTCCTCTGTTACTGGGGTGGTTGGCACACATTGTAGCTTATATGGTGCTACTAAAGGTAATTTTAAATGGAATGTGCACCGTAGTTCTATGTATGGTATATGGTAGTCCCAGCCCACATCCACTCTCTGATCCTCTCCATGGATGATTGGTGATTAACTGTGTTGGAGCCCATAGGAGCATTCACTCTTTCACAATTAGTCTCCCACCATTTATCAGTGCCCCAGTGGGAATGGGTCATGGATTAGCTTGGACTACCTTTTACCAAGTCCATTGGATAAGCTTTACCTTTAACTTACATTTTTGACACTTAGTCTTCCATATTGCATACAAAAACTTGAGTTTTTAAAATCCTAATTTATCACCTATGTTTTCTGTTTGGAATTTCTTTTTAACAGCTGCAATGAACCAAATTACAAAAAATCTGGCTTGTGAGTGGGCGAATGACAAAATTCGAACCAACAGTGTGGCACCTTGGTTTATAAAGACACCGTTTGTGAAAGATGTGAGAGCCCTTTCAACATTTCGTGGTTGTTAATAGTAATAGCACTGGTAGTAGTCATGGCAACTGAAATATTCATGGTTCTTTTATCTTATTTACTAGTAGTCATGGCCACTGCAACTATTCATGGTTCTTTTATCTTATTTCTTTCACAGGTTTTAGAAAATAAGGAGTGGTTAGCAGGGATAGTCGCCCGAACCCCTATGCGACGTGTAGGGGACCCAGAGGAAGTTTCATCTTTGGTTGCATTCCTTTGCATGCCAGCGGCATCGTATATCACAGGTCAAGTAATCTGTGTTGACGGTGGAATGACTGTCAATGGCTGGTATCCATGACAAGGAAATTTGATCCAGATCACATCTCTGTCTCTTAAAATTTTAGGGCTCTAAGTTTTAAGGCCCTGTGTGAAAACATTAATGGGTTGAGGTAATAATTTGGATTGATGGCTTGTTGGTAGTAGCTCTTATAAGAGTTTTGCGTTAATCTAGGAATAAGGGGAGATATTTTGATCATTTTGCATTGCACAAACTTTATGCATTTATGTGGATTTGGCTTTCTATGTGAACCCACCCACATATATAGTATATGTAACCCTTGTCTCAATAGTCAGATCTGATTAGATGGCTTGAGTTCACAAGCTAGTTCGTAACTGTCAGAACTTGATCAGATGGCTTATAGTTATTTATTTTTTATTTTTATTATACAAATAATTTTGAAGCAAAATTTGGAGCATGCATATATCTGACAAGGGCGGACATGATAAAAATAATAATAAAATATTTTAAACTATAAAAATTACCAGAATACCCCTGGGTATTTTGGTTATTTATTTTTATAGAAAATATTTGTTTTTCGTTTTATTAATTTTATGATGGGAACCCAAAATTTCATCCAAAAATATTTTGTAGAAAAAAATGAAAAATAAAACAATGTTTGACGTGACATTGTGGTATAAACAATCATAGCCGTTGAATCGAAAGACTAATAAATGGGGTCACATATAACTTGTATGCAGATGAATTACATAGAAACATTTCCCTTTATTTATTTTATTATTCTATGTGGATTTCGCTTTGTGAATTTAGACTAAAGTTTGTCATGAGAAAGCACACTATAATTCTAAAGACTGAAAAATGTGTAGTACATTGGATTTGGTACTTGAAAATCTATTACTGGGAAACATATTACAAGAAAATATGAGAACTTTAAAAAAAATCAATATAAGAACCTTAAAAAAAATAGAAATATAAGAATAGTAAAAAAATATAATAGAGTACATAAGATTTTTCCAAAATACGTAAAATCTATTACACGCAATGACAGTAAAATCCATTACGCGCGTAGAGTAATCTAAATCTATTATTACCCTAGTTAGCGTGTAACGGTTAAGGTAATCTAATTTCGTCTCTTAAAAATCCTTTGTCTTTAGCCAATCGCCCTTTTTTCTATATACATCCTATCATTGGCGCTCCTATGTATTCATTGATAATCTAACTACGCCCGTCTCTGGCAAAAAAAATCTTCCATTTCGAATCAATCGCCCTTACTCCTATGCACATTTTATCATTAACCGTCTTACCCACATCTATTCCTATTTTTTCTCTCAACTGACTGCGCACGTCAAAAAAATCCACTATCTCCGGCCAATCTCCCTTTCACCTATACACATCCTATAATCCTCTATCTCTAGCTTCTCCCTTTCTCCTATGTACATCTTATCTCCTTTTCTCCTATGCACATCCTATAATCCTCTCTAATCTCCCTTTCTCCTATCATCCTCTATCTCCAGCCCATCTCCCTCTCACCTATACACATCCTATAATCCTCTATTCGTCTCTAATCTCCCTTTCTCCTATCATCCTCTATCTCCAGCCCATCTCCCTCTCACCTATACATATCCTATAATCCTCTATCTCTAGCCAATCTCCCTTTTTCCTATGTACATCCTATCTCCCTTTTTCCTATGCACATCCTATATTTCTCTTATCACTGTGTTGCGCACATCCATTTCTATTTTTTCTTTAATTTCACTATGCACATCCATTTCTAATTTTTCGCTCAACTCCATTATATGTTTGTACATTCTGCGCATATGCCATTTATAAATATTACACATGCATTTGTAGGTCATATCCATTTCAACATCCCTTTATCCTCAATTTGTCTCTCATATAAAAATAATAATAAAAACAATACTGGGTAATCAATAAGAAATTACACAACACAATCATAATAAAAAATTTCACATAACATAATCCTCACAAGAGATTAGTAAAAACTCGATTGAAATAAGATACCTCTTTAGTCTCTTCCAATGTCTCAAAATTTTCTACTATAATTACCAAACCTTCTAGTTTACAAATCAAACTTCTTCCCATTTTTTAACTTCTATCATAAAATTTTTGAATTTGGTACCATAAATTTATTGTTTATTTGAATTATATAGAGAGATATTTGAGAGACTTCTATAATAAATAAATAAAAAGAAGGCTTATAACAATAACAACATGCTATTCCAATCATATTATTCCAATGACTTATCATGTTGAAACCAAAGTCTAATCATGTTAAAAGACATGTAATTCCATGTAAGTGCAGAAAGCATGCAAAATAAGTAGAAAATGATGCAATGATGACTTTAGAATGGTACAAGTTATTATTAAAAAATCTTTTTGGAATAGTGATGATGTTATTATTAAAAACTCTTTTTGAAATGGTGGGATGATGACTTTAATTTCGCATTTTAGTGAAATTTTGTGACAAAAAAGAAAGAAATGATCGTTTATAAACAAGTGCTAGTAAAATGTTGGTAATGCATTTCCCATATTTCTGACCGCTATAGCCAAACAATAGCAATGTATTTCTCAAGTTGCATCTAAACACTACCTAAACAGTAACAATCCATTTGTAGATAATGTATTACGTAGTAATGTATTATGCTAGTAATATATTTCAGACAATATATTTACAAGTATCAAACACCTTAAATGCAATAAAATAAATATTAAAATAGATGTTTACAATAACCGATTCCCCACAACAATTTTCAATTCAGATCGGCCAGTTCCGATCCAAATCGAACTTTTTTTAAACCTTGCTTTTCCTTATATGAACTGGACTACAAAAATATTGCTTTAGCGGTAATGGCGCTAATATCTCCTATATTTATCTGAAACGAAAAATACCCCGCTTGTTTATCCCTTTTTTATGAGTGAAACTTTTGTTCCTAAAATACTTGCGATTATGAAATTGGGAATTTTTGTTGCCCATTTAGTTGTTTAGAACGGATAATTCCCACCCCTTTTTTTCTCGTACTAGATCGGTTCTAGACTCTTGTTTCAATCTTCAAATCATATTTCAAACCATATTTGCTTCATGATTTAATAAAGGGAAATGTTTCTACGTGACCGAATAATATATGAGTTATATGTGACCCACTTCAATTGATAATATCAAAATGTCATGCCAAACACTATTATTTTCCATTTCTTTCTAAAAAAACATTTTTGGATGAAATTTTGGGTGCCAAACACTATTATTTTCCATTTCTTTCTAAAAAAACATTTTTGGATGAATTTTGGGTATTCCACCATAAATTTAGGAAGAACGTGGAAAAAATTTAAAAAATTATTTTCTATAAAAATAAATGATCAAAATACCTTTGCAATTTTCATGGGTATCCTCGTAATAGTGCATCACAAGAAATATTTTATTAGTATTTTTATCATGTGGGCCCTATCAAATCTATGCATGTCCAAATATTTTGCTTCAAAATTTTTTGTAGAAGAAAAATAAAATAAAAGGCTATGAGCCGTTCAATCAATATCTGACGGTTAAGAGCTACATTGTGACTCAAACCATCTCAGCCATCTATTCAAATCTTACAGCTAATCCTAGGGGTCATATGTATTATATAGATGGGTGGAGTCACATAGAAAGCTTTCCCATTCCCATTCCCATTTATAAAGGCGGTGGAGTCACATAGAAAGCTTTCCCATTTATAAATACGTCTTTATGTGAGAAATTGGGATTGAAATTTATACCCAACATGGTTGCGAAACAAAAATATGCATAGCATGATATGAGAAAATCCCCCCTTGTGTTCGTACTGCCCCAAAACCTATAAAATAGTATTCCGGTTTCTTACTAGTTTCATTAGAGGCCCCTCTATCTCTCTCTCTCAACTCTAGAATTCTCTCTCTAAACTCTAGCCAATTTGTAAGGGTGTGGTTTCTATAAGGTTGCAATCTTAAACAATCCAATTAAGGTGCACCTTCAAATTTTAATTTTGGTGTAAAACATTCTTAGGACTATCTTAAAATCTATTTTCATATCTAATTATAAAATTTCAAACTCTAAAAATGGTTAAAATCAAGTAGATTTATAAACATATGAAAATCTTAAAAATGGATGGTCTAGATAATGTGTTTAAAGATGCACTATTTATGGGACTCAAAATCTTTTTTTTTTTTTTGTCATATTAATAGAGATCAATTGTTTTGAACTATGTGACATACTTTAAGCTATTTGATTTGACATTTGATGACTAGCATTAATTTTGATTTTCTTGTTCCAATTCATTTGGGCAACTCCGACCTTGCCAAGGGATGACCCACAAAACCCTCGTCACTTAACCATCTCATGGCATGTATATATGACAACCGTATCGAGAAAAACGAGTCACCTTTCAAGGTGAAGCGTGTACATATGCGAGAGTTTATTCTTATGCAACATAGAATTGTGGTTGCATCATGTTTTGATGATCTTGATTTGTTTTTAGGCGAGAACTTGTCATCAATATACTAAAATTGTGTTTATTTGCCTATTGACTGACTTTGGTAGCCAATCATGAACAGCTACAATTGCGTATTGGCTGACTTTGGTAGCCCAATCATGAACAACTACAATGGTCTGTGAGTTACGGGCACTGTTGGGTCAGTTTGAGAAAACAAATGTAGATTATAGTCAACAATAGAAGATATAGTACTTCTACAATTTTATAATTCCGAGATTTATACAGATCCGATGCCTATTACATTATTTAGTTTTAATTATTTTGATTAAAGATTGTATACAATGAAACCATTTACCTTTGATATAAGGTGGTCACAATTACTTATAACCATCTGATGTGAAATTTGATAGCTTGGATGTGTCACAAAGTTCAAGAAAATTTCTTTGGAAGTTTGAGCTTGGTCAATGGAATAATTGCTGCCACCCAATTTTACATCCAATGGTCAAGATTAATGTGACCACCTTGAACCAAAGATAAATGGTCTCATTCTATACTTTCCCTTTTGATTATATATGATTTTTAGATTGATTATTAGAATTTTTGTGAATATTTGAATATTTTATTTTTATAAATTGGATTTATAAGGCGAAAGTCATTTTTTTTTTTTCAGGAACTAGGGATGCCGTCTGAGACATCTCTTTCCTTAGATCGAAAGGCAAACTTGCTATCTTAGACTAAGGAACCCAATAGATAGACGAAGGATGAACGCGAAAGGATGCTACCGCAATCCAGATATTCATTTTTCAATATTTAAATATTCAAGAGAAATTAAAATTTATTTCCAAAATTATAATTTTATAAATTCTTCTTACATGGGGGCATAGGAGGCCTACGTTGGGACCACATGGGTTGTGGATGGGGCCCATTTTGGAGACCCATGGGAGGCATGCCCCATGTAGTGAGCTACTTTCCATTACACTTATACTTCTTCTAATGGTACACGGGATTAATGATACACGGGATTAGTGGTCTTTCTCACATCTAGTAAATAGGGGAGAACGTAAGGCTCAACCCTAACAATATGAATTGGGTAAACAGGGTGTGGTCCGCCTTTGGTCTTTCTCACATCTACTAAATAGGGGAGAACTTAAGGCTCAACCCTTACAATATGAATTGGGTAAACAGGGTGTGGTCCGCCTTTGGTCTTTCTCACATCTACTAAATAGGGGAGAACTTAAGGCTCAACCCTTACAATATGAATTGGGTAAACGGGGTGTGGTCCCCC